AAGGTTCCAGAAAGAGAGAATGAGTTCCCAGAGAAAGGAAGTTATTAAGTCATGCGATGCTGCAAATATATAAAAATGAGGGGCAAAATGCAGGGCAGGGTATTGAGTTAAATGTTGGCCACTCCAGTGGAGAAGTTGGGGGAGGACGGGTGGCTTCTAGTCACTGACACTAAATTTGTATTTGAGCCATTTCATTTTTTTCCCCCAGGCAAGCAGTATCACTTAACCTACATGTTCATTAGGGTGAATAGTAAGGCAAGTATTATAGCAAAGCCCTCCTTAGAAATGAAGATCTTGGTAATTAGCAGTGACAAATACCAACTTTCTAGGTGACATGTCAGTGATTTTCAAAAATTGTTCCTCAAAGATTACAGGCTAATTGGTGCTGGGTATTCTGTTCATCTATTTTTAAGTATGGAAGAAGATTTTTAAGACTTCTACTATATCACATTTTCAAATACGATACTAGGAAAATCCATTCATTACAAATCCAATTATATTTTTATTTTATTTACAGTAGGATGCTGTGTGTTATATCACTCAGCATAATTTTTTCTGAAGGTCTCTAATTTTAGTAGTAATATTAAAGTAAGATATTTCAATATTATTTATACTGCAGAGAGAATTAGGTTAATTTTTAAAAACTGAAATGATGGTTCAATAGCACGAAACTCTTACCAGTAAATTTTTAATGACAGTCCTTTGTATATGAAAACAACAGAATGTTGTTGCAATCCTTTGTTTTTCTTTTTTTTTCTCTTTCCTCTTTTATCAACAAGTGCATGTTTTGCCTTTTATTCTTTACTATAGTAATAAATATGGCCGATCTGGCAGACAGCAATGATCTCATTTGTAACGAGTCATAGTGAAACCCATTTAGCAGATTACTTGGAGATTACTTTAGCTGAATGAAAACATTGCTGTATTCTTTATGAAGAAAGCCATATGTTTAAGAAATGTTACAATCAATTCTCCTCTGATAAGACAGGGCTCATCCAGCTGTATCTTGTGAAGGAGTCTTCAGTGCTTGGTGGCATTTTTTTCACTGTGCCTTCTTCATGTACCTCTGAAATTTTTCTCTATCAACTTTTTCTCAAGCTTTCTATTTTTCTTTTTGTCTCCATTTTTTTTTTGTTTTGTGTTTCGTTTTTGTTTTTTGAGAGAGAGCAAGTGAGCACATGAACGGGGGAGGGACAAAGGGAAAGGAAGAGAGAATCTCAAGCAGACTCCCTGCTGAGCGCTGCGTCTATCTTGGGGTTCCATCCCAGGACCCTGAGATCATGACCTGAGCTGAAATCAAGAGTCAGACACTTAACTGACTGAGTCACCCCAGTGCCCCTATGTCCATGTTTTTAAAAAGTCATTCCCTTACATTAATATATCCTAAGATATGAATAGCAAATTCTTCCTGGGGTGGTAGGTCCATGACCACTTTCTATTCTAGCATCACACCCATTGGATGGTGGAGTTTTCCGTTTGAACATGTTTGGAGGTGGGGGGAGGTTAGTCAGAAGGCAGTTCCAAAACTGATCCTTTGCTGAAAATGGGTTTGCTTCCTGGACATACCATTAGTACCTGATTTTTTTCAGCCTTGCCATTCTTTGGAATGCAACCCATTCAAAATTCATCTGTGGCTTTTAAAAGATAATAAAATAAATGTAGTTGAAATCTTCCAAGTTTTAAGCAGCTTGCTATTAAATGATTGTCTTCATAGGTTGATCACTGATTTCAGCTGTGAAACTGACTTCGAAAGTACCTGTGTAGCTGAAAGTTGTACCCCTTTTTGCAGGAAGAATTAAATAACTACAAATTAAGAGAACACTACAATATATTGGCAATGAGAGTGAATGAGGGCATAGCTATGTTCTTTTTACACTCTAGAACAGTTGGTATATTTTTTTCACCTACAGTCTTTATTTTATTCTGTCAAAAAATTACAGCTAAGGGATTCATTTTTACCCCAATTATAAATAATATGCTGTGCTTTTATAGTATGCCTTAAAGAAATCACATAATTTATTAACTTAAGCAGGCATTAAGGGAAATGTCCAAATGCTAACCTATAAACATTTTATCTGTGCTTTCTTTGCTTTTTAATGTATCAGTCTTGAATTTTTAATTTCAAAAGACAAGTATACTGTAACAGTTTGATAATAAATTTACAAATAATAAAACAGTATATTCTGGCGATTCAGGGCAGTTTAGGACACTAATTTAATTTTAATATCAAACAAATGAGAAAAAATTCAGTTCTTAAATCTGAGTCAGGATTAACTCTTTTTTATTCTTTTTAATCATGTATACTTCAGATGAAAGTTGAAAGTTGGTAGACTGAGATCTAAAACTGAAACTTTTTCCACAAAGTAGGGCCGAGATCATTAAAAAAAAGAGCTAACATAGCTAATTAAACTCAGTGTTAGGCTTGGGACCAAAAATATCTAAACTGTTTTAAAACACGGAAAAGTCAACCACTCTCAATTTTCCCTCATATTATTACCTCAAAGGGATGATGTACATGATCTTCTCTTAAGATTAAACTATACCTTTTGGTACAGATAGATATGCAGTTGACTCTTAAAAAAAGGGATTGGGGTGTCAACCTCCTGTGCAGTTGAAAATCCATATGTAACTTTTGACTCCTCATAAACTCAACTACTAATAGCCAACTGATTAACCTTACTGATAACATAAATAGTCAACTAACACATGTTTTGTATATGTGTTATATATTGTATTCTTACAGTAAAGTAAGCTAGAGAAAAGAGAATGTTATTAAGAAAAACATGAGGAGAAAATATATTTACAGTACTGTACTATATTTATAAAAAAAAATCTGGGTATAAGTGGATCCATGTTGTTTAAGGGTCAACTGTGTATCTTGTGTCATGACATGGTGCTTCTTAAATAGGATACAGGTTTGAATGTGTGTAATCTAGAATGTGAACCAGCACACATCTTTAAGAGCAGAACAAAACAGGTCAACATGGTAACATTGTATCATTTGAGGGATATTTATGAACTGAAAAACTAAATGGTTAAAACGATTTACCTTTAGGAAGCTCTCTTATAAGTAAATATCATACATAAGATTTGAACTTACACTTTTCTTGAAGTAAGAATTAATACATTTTATATTTCCAGATGCTTCAGTGTTGCAGAATTTTCAGGATGGGAATTCATGGGGGCTTTAAATACCATCTACATGCTGATGATGCTCAGATTAATTTGTCCAGCCCTGTCCTCTCTCCTGAACCCCCTGTAGATGCTTAATAAATTTTTGTCAAATGAATGAACATTATGTTTTAGATGTTGGCTCCTACTGAGATGTATCAGTTTTTTATGTTTGCTCTTTCATTTATTTATTAATTCATTCTATAAAGTCAGTGATTATGCCTAACTCTTAGGCATTATTGATATATTGACAAAAATAAAGGAAAGAGAAAGTTTTTATTTTTAATGCTTTGTATTTGTTTTAAAAGTATAGTGCATATTTAATCCCTTGCGTGAAGTTATCAGATTCTGGGCTTAAGTTCTTAGGGATTTTTTTTCTTCTTTTTCTTTTGTTCTTTTTTGCAGTTGGAACGATCTTCCAATTTCTAAATACCATTACAATTTAAGGATAGATTCGCTTTATAGAAGTTAATTTTATGGGCAGTTTTGAATGCTCTCTAATAATATACATAATTTTTAAAGGAAGAGTGGTGGTAGTATTTTAACTTTTTTCTATTTTAACATTTTAAGAATGCTCCCCCTTCCTTATTTATAAACCCCTTTGCAAACAGTGTTACTTTGGTAAACGTGTAAGATATTCCCATGTACACTTCATGTATAAACCAGTATTTGAAATCAGATTTATGTTAATAGGAGAAAGACCTATACTACCAGCCAGGCCATTAATTAAAATACCTTTTTTCTCTTTTATATCAGTTTTGGACTACCTTTTTTTTTTTTTTTAACTCTCCTCCTTTTCAATATGATTAATTGTTCAGCATAAGCTAGATCCCTATTTTGTCCTTTGAAAGAAATACTCGATATATTTTATATATTTATGAATGCTTAGTTTAGTAACTATAAAAGATTTCTTTTTTGAAATATCTGGTGACTAAGTCACTAAGATGAGAATGTATGTAGTGCATGCATTCCAGGCAACATGGTCTTTTCTAGAGGAAAGCAACAGAGCGGGACAAAGAATTGATAGCAAATCTAGGCTCCTGAGATATTTTGGATGCCAGAACAGAGTATTAGTGTTTTCGCAGAGAGCTTCCAGTTCCGTGGCCATCTGTGAAAGTTTGTGTGGACCAGTTTGGAATCATGTGTCTGTTCCTCATGTTTGTTTTTGATCAGATACAGATTTCGAAGGCAAAGATGCCACATTCAGCGATTGCTTTTCATCGGATTTCAGAATAGTATTTGAGGAGAATGCCTTAAAGCTTTCAACTTAATAAGCTCAAAGTGTTATAACAGTGTAAATTATCCTTTGTACTTCAAACCATGCAAACATGGCCTTGTTTGTCAGTTTTTAAACTATGATGAATGTTTCCAATAAATCTGACTGTGAAAATAAGAATAGTTGTTTATGGAGAGATTATTAAGTAGATAACTGTGGATTACCATTCTTTAGTCATAAGAGCAACCCATTCTAATGCAGATTTTTTGGCCTCTAGCTTTTGAAGTATTCAGCACTCAGCCCTATACATTTATTAATTGTTTGTTCAGTTAGGATGAACTGCTAAGTTGTTGTTTATTTTTGTTTCGCCAAAGGAAAAATGGGGATTGAGGCCATTTTCAAGAGGGTTGTCTCTAGAAAGTTCTAATTCAAAATGAATCCAATCATCTGATTGAAAATATTCATATTGGGCAAAAACCAGAGAATTGCAGGAGACCTCTTGGCCCTCATTTTGAGGAAGGTCGCATTTCATTGAGTGAATATGTCTTTGTCACAAAAGAATGAAAACCCATTTTGTATATATTGACAAGTTAGAATTTTTTGTTATCAACAGGTTTGGCAAACACCGAAAAGATGACAAGATTGAGAAAACGGGTAAAATAAAAATACAGGACTCCCTTACGTCAGAAGAGGAGAGGACACGAATGAAGCAGGAGCAGGCGAGGTAGACCGCAGTCATTTGATTAAACCTCATCAGATAGAGCTTTTTGTCCTTTCCACTCTTTTTGCTTTTTTTCTTTAATTTGAAGAATTTATACTCAGTGAGTTTTTAGTTTTTCTGTATAAGTCCAAACACTGATGGTTGTGGGATAAATGAAATGTAAAGAAAGATCCAAAGGAAAAAACCATATACTTATTTGAGGCACTAAGTGAATTTTAAGGGTTGAGTTAAGATCTTTGCCTAGAAGGTAGCAGAGCCTATTAGATGAATTAAATAAGCATGAAGACTGAATTTGTGATCACTTTTAAAATCACAAAGAAATAGTCACGATTCCATTTCATTCGTTTATGAGTACATAGCATTTTGTGATAATTTTTAAGACTATTTCTCTGGAAATAAAACCTTGAATTTTTATATCTCATTTAAAATATCTTGATTTATAATAAGAATTGATAATGCTTTCTTGCTATGTTGTTTTCCTCTCAAACCTGACACTTGTTTCTTTTTTTTCTCCATTTCCTTATCCTATTTTGTGACATTTTCCACTTAAATTTGATTGCATCTCTTCCAAAAAGATTGTTATCTGTTGAGTCATTCCGTGGTAAGAACCCAAAGACCAGTGAAATGAACGAGAAGTTTCTTTAAGCAGATAATTGAAAACCATTTCTATAAGTGATTAGAATTTCTCTTGCTGTGATTCCCAGGGGATGAGAAAGCCTCCTCGAACTTCTGTTATTCGCGTTTACAGGCTCACAGCGAGCTCCTCTGGATCCTTTACTTCGCAGTTCCAGAACCCCCCACAGCAAGAGACACTATGCCTGTTGTACTTGGGGAATAATCCGGGTAGTGAGGGTGCCTTGATAAAGGCGAAAAGACTAAACAGTGTCCATAGCTAAGATTAGAGCCTAGCATCTTCAACTCCAGATTCTTGCTAACAATTCTGGAGTTGGGACACTTTCAAGTCTTATTCTTAATGAATGAAAGAACTAGAAAGAATATTCTACCATGGTTTTCTTTAGAAGAGATTAATGTTTGGATATTTTTCCACTCATCTTTCTCCCACGTCTGAGGCTTTAGGCTGGGATAGTTACTCTGATTCTCTGTAGCTTTTCAGAGTATTAAATAAATACATGGGAAGGATAGGGATTTGTAATTTGTGATGCAAATCTGGGTTTATTCTTCTGTTTTTTTCCCAGTTTTTTTCCCAATCCTTCCATTTTCTTTTTTTTCTTTTTTAAAGATTTTATTTACTTATTTGAGAGAGAGATTGAGAGAGAGAGAGAGCACATGAGAGGGGATAGGGTCAGAGGGAGAAGCAGACTCCCTGCTGAGCAGGGAGCCCGATGCGGGACTCGATCCCGGGACTCCAGGATCATGACCTGAGCCGAAGGCAGTCGCTTAACCAACTGAGCCACCCAGGCGCCCCCCAATCCTTCCATTTTCTTGCTCTCTAGGACTCTTTCTAATCCTCACCAGTTTCGAGATCCGCAAATTTATTAATAAGCTCACCGTTGTCAGGCCTGGGCACACAGTATTCCTTAGTGTGTACAATATGGCGGTTAATTGCTCAGTACTATAAACTCCTATCCTAAGAGAGTATAGAAGAAAGTGTATACCAGCTAAATGTATGTGCTCAGGTTTATCCACAGGCAAGTAATGTGATTTAGCTAGAGAACAATCTGAGTGATTGAAACATTATACTTCTCCCCTATCTTGATGCCAACCATAGGGGATAGATTCATTAATCCCATACCATTGTTCATATTTGCTATATCCCTTTCTTGCAGTTTAAGATGATTCCTGTGCTTCAATGCAGAATTCTATCAACATTTTCCAAGATACTTGTTATAATGCATAGTCAAGTTCTTGCAGCCAAACAGTGATTTTTACATAATGGTTTCACTTGTATTATTAATTTGCCTAAGGCACAGTTCACTTTCAGTTTTGCTTTTAATCTCCATCTCTGTACCTCTAATGATGCAATACTTCTGGGAACTAGATTGGTCATAATGAATTTACAATGTACAGGAGGCCTAAAATAAAAATCTTTTAGGGTCAAGGAACAAGTGAATGGTGCATTAAAAAAAATCAATTAGCTTCATAATTTAAGAAAACTATTATACTCTGACTTTGTATTTCAGTAACAGTTTTTACAAGTATGTTTTATTTAAACTCGTGGATCTTGTAATAGAGCGAGTGCATCATGAGACTTACTGAATTACATAAGTGGAGCTTGTTTAGTGTTTGTTATTTGGGTAGGGCAAACCTTCTTTTGTATGTCCTCCTTTCTCTCTGTCTGTTGGCATTGGTGATGCTTTGAGAATGGAAATTGCAACTTCTTTGGGAAGAATTTGGGTGGAGGAATAGATAAAAATAAATAAAGCACTGCTTATATTCTCATCATAGCTTTTGCTATGATGAGTACTAGCAGATGAGTAGCGAAGCACCTCCTTTAACATCATTTACCACTGTAGCTATTTGAGTCCCCAAAATTATTTTGGCTTATTTCATATAAAAAGAGAAAACTTGACATCCCCTGGTTATTAATTATGATATGTCCATATACAAAAATATTTTTGTCCATACACATCCATGAAGTCTGAATATGACTCAAGATATAAATATGGAACAAGTGAAAGGACAATGAATAGAATTGAAATATGTTTTCCTACAAGGTTAAGATCTATTTAGATCGTGAACGTGAACATCCTTGCTAACTTCTCCCCCTCTCTTTCCACTTGCTGCCATCCCTGGGAGGTGGGGTCTTGAATAAATGCTGTCCTCCTAGGAGAAATGGATGAGGAAGACCCCAGCATGGCTCTGTCCTCAGACTCTACTCATCCTGCCCTGCCAACAATCCAGGCCTGCACGCCTAGGCTCTCTTCCTGAGAAGCGGGGAGAATGGGGATAACACCAAGGGTAAAGTTAGCTGGTCTTGTGATGTGCTATTTTGACTTATAGCTCCAGGCTCCAAACCAAGGCACCTTAGCCTTTCAGAGATGCTATTGACCACTGTTGGGCTAGGTGGGGGAACGAAGCAGTGATGGGTATTTGGAGCTGAAGGATGAATTCAGTGCTTACTGCTCTTTCTGGTTTGTCTTTCGGGCATGCCAAGGGACAAAGCCCCTGTTGGCTCTTTTCCACCATTCAGAAGGATTGGGCTCCAAACCCATAACAGAACATATTTAATTCAATGATCTGTTACACTCAGGCCCACTTCCCTACCATTATGTTGACCAAGTGTCTGAAGTAACATTTGGCTTTCTATTGTGTTTGTGCTCCAGTGGTATCTCTACTTAGGCTCTAAAGGTTGACATATAAGCCATGTGGTGGGGGAGTTCCCCAAACAGTATTTAGTAGCCGAAAAAGGGTTCCACATGCAAATATGTTTGAGAAACACTTGGTTAAACCATTTATGCATATTTCTTTGCTCCATTATTTCTCAAAACCCTACTTTGGTTAATGTACCTTGTGAGTCACCAAAGAAATGAATAGAGATTCCTCATTTTCTAACTTATTTATTCACAGAACATCCCCCTTCACTTGTTTTCTGTGAAATACCAACATCTCTCAGAATTCAATCACTGGGGAAATACTGGTGGCAAGCAAAGGACATTGGCTCCTGGGTCAGCCATATCCAGCTCCCTCATCTGACTGGCTGTGGAACTCCGGGTTGATTGTTTCATAGAATCATGAGCAAGTGTAAAGCCAGTGTTTGGGAACTGCCTCTACATTATGGCTTCTGTTTTGTGTAGTTAGGAATCTATTCCTGAACTTTCATTTTCTGTTTTCTCTTTCCCACATGTTTTTCACCTGTCTATAACACATACCTTTTTAAGGTCTAATTCTAATGTATTCTAATTCTATATCTATAGAAAATTTGAAAGAGAAAACATAAATTTAGAACTGGAAAATAAAAATTTATCTGTCATAATACCACTGTTAACATACTGGTCTATGCCTTTCTAATTTATTTCCTATAAAATATGTATTTCCACACATGCGTACTTTTAAAAAGCTAAATCTATTTTCATTTTTTTCAAATTTATTCACTTATTTTAGAGAGAGAGAGAGAGAGAGAATGCATGAGCAGGGGGAAGGGCAGAGGGAGAGGGAGAATCTCAAGCAGGCTTCCCGCTGAGCATGGAGCCTGACTCGGGGCTCAATCTCACGACCCTGAGGTCATGACCTGAGCCAAAATCAGGAGTTGGACGCTTAACTGACTGAGCCAACCAGTTGCCCCACATCTATTTTCATTTTGATTTATCTTGCATTTTATTTTATTTTATTTTGTTATGTTATGTTAGTCACCATCCAATACATCATTAGTTTTTGATGTAGTGTTCCATGATTCACTGTTTGCGTATAACACCCACTTCTCCATGCAGTACGTGCCCTCTTTAATACCCAGCACCAGGCTAACCCATCCCCCACCCCCCTCCCCTCTAGAACCCTCGGTTTGTTTCTCAGAGTCCATTATGTTGCATTTTTATACATTCTTAGAAAACCATGTTGAACTTTTTCTGGAACAAGGCCAAGTTTGTATGAACAGATGGATGGATGGGAAGGAAGGACAGAAAGAAGGAAAGAGGCAGTCTGAAAGATGAAATCTTAGCTGCGGTATCTGACCAGATTCCCCAACTCTCAAAATTTACCTCATATGTTATTCATTCTATTAAATGAAATTTAGACGTAATGTTAACTGGCTTGTGTTTTGTAGTTACTCAGCAAGGGATACCTATTCTGATATTCTTATCTGTTAGCTATGTAGTAAGTTGTACTTGGAAGTATTTTCAAAGGGACTGAATGCTTCTAGTGGAGGCATGAAAAAGGTAAATGAATGTCTTACGAAATTTTCCCAGTATGTGAAGGATATTTATAAAGCTGCTAAGGAAATGTATGGCTTAAAATGTTCCATTATTCAAAGTGATAATCACTCTTAAAAGCTTTGTGTTTTCAGTACTAGGCCATTGAACTGTTTGTGCCCACAAGTGGTACTCCCC